TCCCTCGGTGAAACTTTCTGAGAAGTTCCATTCATAGATCTTCCACGAGGTACTTAAAGTGATTCGGTTTTCGAGAAGTCACCCCGCGTCCCAAACTACCCATTACGGTTAATGGCTAACCCTAACCTGTGCAGTAATACGATTTTCACTGCGTCCCCGGCATTTCAGTATCCAACATTTAAGTTCCTCGTTCTGCATCTTCTGTGCTTTTGTTCGCTTAAATCGTCGTCTGCCGACTGTGAATTTACCAGGGTTTACAAACCCTGCACCGTGGTATTTGACAGAGCTTCTCTAATCTTACTGTCAGACTTAAGCATCACTTGGTTTTCGCAGTTGCTGGCTGGCTGTGTAGGGGACCGACCCCCTTCCGTGCACATCAACTGTGGATTTGCCCGTGTCCGTAAGGAAAATAACTTTTAAAAACTCGGCAACAGATATGGTCTCGGAGCAATCTTTTTAACTCACCTTTTTGTTGCATTTTCATTTTTTTCTGCTTTTGTGTTCTCATTTGTTGCCCTGTATAGCGCCTGCAGATGCGAGGCTTGAAATAGCGCTTTCTAAATATTTATTTTTAATTAAAATTTAAATTCACGGCTACATGGGGGAAAAGGGGGGAATTGGAAAATCAAGTTCATTTATTGTTTGTAGGGTATTATTAGTATACCCTCTTTTATCATTAAAACGATTTTTTTTTTCCTGACGGGTTTTAAACCCATTCTGTTTTTATCTCCGATTTCTTATGTCGTGCACGAGATATGTACATTTCAGTGGAATGCGTGCGCGCGCGCCATACTTCAGGGTGGGTGTTGTGCGCTTGCGCGCGTTCACGGCGGTTTTCAGGAGCAGAATGTGTTGCTGTTTGTTGGGGGGGAACAGGAACTGCATACCATTAAAAAAAACTTTTATGTGCAATTGTTTTTTAATCGATTTAAATTCTAATATCAACACCCAGCACGTTTTAAGCTTACATAGTGCCCCGTGTCGAGTTCAGAAAGCTTGTTTTTGTCTTGCTCGTAAAAAAAAAAAAGACTCCGCTACAAAATGGTGTCACTTCATTCATCTATAAGAAAAATGAAGGCAACTACATTTTTATTTTATTTTTTTAAATCTTTTGAGAAATTTGATTTAAGGTTTTGAACAGTTGGGCAACAAGACGTCGAGGCACGTGTGTGTGTGTCGAGAATCTAGAAACTTAAGGGAAAAGGCCAGCAGGAACATGTAGTTAAGGTTGGTCTGAAAGTCTGACTCCTGTCCGCCTCGGCCGGTGGCTATCCGGACCAGTCCGCTGTCCAGCCGGTGTGTCCGGAGTGAGGAGAGCCGCACTGGTCCCGAACCCCCCGGCCAGCGCGCATCCCGAATCGCGAGCCCCGGGCCTACGGGTTCCGGACACCACTCGGCCCTGCAGCATCTCGGGTTTCCCGGACACCAGTAACATGCTTTCAGGAGCATCCTGCTTCCGTGTTGTGCTTTTCTGATAACCGGCCGCTTGTAGCCCTGCAATGTGAGAAAAAATACTCTATTTGTGCGTGCAACCACATGTAGGAATTGCGTTTTAATTCACGTCTTTTGATTTTATTTTTTAGGCTTTGGTTTACCTGTGTTGTCAAATCGACCGCTGTGGCTGATCAGGTGACGTAATCTTCTTTTTGTCGTCCACATAAGTATCTGCATTCGCAGAAATGATGTACATTTTACTCTGAAGTCCCCTGTTTCTACAAGATGCAGACAAATCTAAGATTTTGTGATTTAGAAAGCAAATGGACACATTGATGTGTTAAATGCATTTTCATTTGTCGATCGTTTCAGCATTATACAATGAAACTCCCACAATTAAAATCATACAATAGATGTATCTTTTTAAAATATATATATTGACTTATTAGATTGTATTAAACTATTATAGTACGGAAACAAAATGTTTAAACCCAAATAAAATAAGAAAGTTGCAGGATAAAATCTAAAACAGAAGATTTTTTGTTAAAATCTCACTAAGAAGAGAAGGGATTTTTAGGAATGCTGTTACAGGAATGTGCTGGAAGTCTCAGCATTACTGCAGCTGTCTTAAACATGAAGTATGGAGGGAAAAATAACTCATTTTTAAGACAGTGTTTACATCGTAATTAAAGTTTTTAAACAAAACTAAATTTTATTGAGGCATCTTAAAAAAAAACAAGTGAGATGAACAGTTCTTAAACATGATTTGTTAAGATCATAGATACATGTTACATTTCACACCATATTGGTGGGAAAAAAAAGGTACTTACCTGCAATCATGTGTGTAGATATTGTGGTGTACGTTTTGTAAAACATGATGGTGGAATTCAGTTCACAAAGGGAAAAACATGCAAAAGCAGGGTCTTAATTGCAAATGAGTGGGAGATGTTCAGATGGAAAAACTGAGCACCTGTGCCTACATTCATTTCTTGAAAAGAGTAAACAGTTATAAAATGAAGTGGATCCAACTAGTCAATACATCCAGAGTGCCTGCAAAGTCAAGATGCCTCATGTTCACGAGAGACGCTTTATATAAGATCATTCTCTCCCATGATACACCAACTTGTTCACCCACACACACGCACACACTCAACACGCCTCCCCGTGCCTGTCGCCTCACTCTTCCTCTGCCTCTCAGTAGCTCACGCTCGGAAAAATAAGATCTCCGGTTCCGGTTCTGCAGACTTGGGGAGGATGTTTGAAGGGTTGGCGAAGAGCAGGATATCGTTAGAATTCATGTTTTATAAATCCCCTCACGACCTCGGAACTTTTGACCAGCGTTGGCGTGTCGAAAACGTCCTGTGTGAGATTGTAAACCGTGATAGATGGATATTCCTAATTATTTTCCTAATTCTTAAGGTAGGGTTCTAGGAATCAAGATCTAAACTCTGGATTTTGTGTTTCTGTCAATAAAGATTGATTGAACCCTCTCTGTCTCAGCAGCTCACCCATCCCCGGACGCAGGAGCAGAGGAAGCAGTCTGCAGACACACTTGTCGCCCGAGCCGATCAAGTGATGTTTCTCCTTACTGTCGGGAGGGGAACCTCATAACGAAAGCTTTTTCCGGGTGTGAGACTATGTAAATCGGTTCTGATGATTTCCCAAGCAGCTCTAAAAGCCACAAACCAATTTTAGTTCCATACTTGTGGCTTCAATACAGCACGTGCATCGGTTTACAAAACGACACCTTCTTGCAGGACCTGACAGCATTGGCGTTTTAAATTTTGCAATCGGGATTAATTAATCTGGATTAAGAGCAGCCTTTAACTGGGAAGATTATTTAATGTTCCTGTTGAGGCAGCAGTCAGGAGCTCACACACTGCTAATCTGGTTTGAAGGCTTGTCACTTAAATGGCTGGGCACTTTGGCATCTTTGAACTGCTTTGAAAAACACAAAGGATCATGCTGTAAAAGTCTGGCAAACTGCCTTGCAAACAAACACACACAAATAAACAAAACATGACTGTTGAGAAATATATGGCAGACTGCTTACTATGTGCAGTTATGTACTCAGACAGAGAGATGAGATAAGAGACGTCTGAACAAAATCAAAAGCTCTTTAAATCTGAAGCTCATGCTCCTTCATAGAACATTGATTGATGTAAAACGTCCTGACAAAAACTGTTTGTTTGTAGGCAACCTGGATATTTCTTTTTCAGGTTAGGTGCAATTCAGAGGTCTTAAAGAGCTACTTAAAAGTCAGCTGTGTCCCTTGTTTGTTTCTACTGGTGACAGTGTCTTATTATTTCATACATGGTTGTATGATTAATGAGAGGTTTTGTGAAGGGGGAATGGATAATGAATTAAATCTGCAAGGACCACATCTTTTCTAAAGATGATCCTACACAAGTAACATGTTAGTAATTATAAGTTAAATCCCTTTTGTGCTGTGGTGTAATTCTGTCTATCACATCCACTGAACTGTTATTCTGCAAGAAAATATATATTTTTCAGTCAGAAATTAAATGCACTGTCTGTTCAACATAAAAAATTAACCAGAAAATAGGTCTCTTTCAGACGTTTTTTTTTTCTGCGTGACCTTCAAGAATTTAAGATCAGACTTTACCAATAGTCAAGTGTTACCTTGAGAAATGAAAGAAACAGCTTTCTCCTGCAGTCAGTCTGCAGACACCTTACAAATGTGAAATTGTTTTCGTTCAGATAAGAATTTGAGAATCTATGTCAATTTCTCCTCAGGTGTGCCATATCTTCAAGACAGCTCCTTTTCATTTTGTTTAACGGTAACAGTGAAGATTTTTAAATGTGATTCTCGCAGCTGAAGACCTGAAGTACTGTACATAATACATTTATGCAAATACAAATATTTGGTTTAATCTTCATTTACATGTATTAGATGAAGTACAGTCCACTGTCCTTAAAAAATAAAAGGAAGTGCCGAAGGTTTTTACTCATTTTAAAAACATCATGAAGCAAAGGAGCAGGAAGTTCCATCAGCATGTTCTACTGCAAACTATTGAACATGCACAGACCTGGGGGTGTGTTTTGGTTGTGCTGGGGCAAATTGAATGCACATGTCAAGTGCTGTTTTGTCCAATGGTTTTAATGGTAGTTTTGTGAGATCGCATGTTTTGCAATCTTGGTTGTTTTTTTGCAGACCAATACAATGTCTATAGTGATGGTGCTCTTTAGGCAACACTCAGCATGCCATCTGATTTCAGAGCTTTTATCCTTTTAGGTCCTTGCACTGAAGGGGGTAACCGGATTAAACCCAGGTTGTATGTGAAAAAAAACACCCTCTTCTGCTTCCCTGCCTGCGTGGCTTTCCGACCAAACAGACTGGGATCAGCTCTAGAAAATGTATCGGAAAAGAAACATTGCAGTCCGTCTCGTGGTTGCAATATCGCTGAAGGAGAGTGGAGTGCAGGGAGCAGAGTGCCGACCGAATTCTCTTCTTTCTTTTTCATGCAATAATCCTGGGTCCGTTTGCTGTGAAACTTGGCCCGTGCAGAACTGGTTCTGAATTTCAGCCCAGGGCAGCTGCAGTGTGTCCCCCCAGCCCTCCACTGTCCGTCCCCCCCCCCCCAGTTTAGGGTTCAGCACAGTGAAGACCACAGCACATGTATAAGAAAGCTCAATTACCGATGCCGTGCTGCTTCTATCTTTCAAATACACCTCCATGTTAAAGACCTCCATGTGAAGCAGCCTTCTAACTTCATCCAGTCCCTGTTCACCAAAACACGTTACCATGGTGCCTAGAGCCTGGTGCACGCTAGACTGTTTTGTTCAAACATGAACACAGTTTGTCTCTGCAATCTCCCGCATGATGGGAGAGGGAGTAAGCATAATAAGCTCATTACTTCACACCATACTTTGGTTTTTATTTTTGAAAAGCCACGCCTTACTTCATACGACGTGCAGAGTGTGTGTATGTGTGTGTGTGAGTGAAACAGAGGAAACGACCATCCTACATCTTAATGACAATAATTAGTCAGAACTAATTGTGTGTTTTAAACTTTCCCTAATTGTAGATGATGTCCGTTTGCACAGCCAGAGTGGATGAATGAGTGTGCAGAGGGGGCATCAGATACCACTGGCTTGGATGAATGGGTGTTGTTAAGGTCTAGTGATGTAATTCATGTACATTTGCACAGTGCTGGTCTACCTTTGCGAAGGAATGTGTGCAGAGATGAACATGAGTCACGGACACCTGTCTTCATCCTCGACGAACAGATTCCAGGTGTATGACGCTGCATGAGGACGGTGTGCTCTGTTGGAAACGTGCTGCTCATCCTGTCTGGGAGCAGGGCAGGTCTGAGATCTTTTCCTGGACTTGGAGATCTTCCAGGGCTGAGGGCCGGGCGGTCAAGACGCTCCGGCTGTGTGTCCAAGCCCTTCCCTGTTACAGCAGAGCCCTCTCCTCCACCGCGCTGAGCTCGCCTGTTCTGAACGGGATTAGACTTTTTCAGCTTCTCCCCAGTAGTAAGACGCACCTGAGGGACAATAAAATGTGCACACAGATCAACTGATACAGTCTGGGAGAGGCTTGGAAAGGGCCCGAGCAGAAATCAATTATTTATTTGTGCGGTTTTTGTCAAAGGGTGACTTTTAGCACTTTCCACCAGCCCTCCCACCCTCCTAAACCAGTAGCTCTGTTTGCTTTTATAATTAAAAAAATGCGTGAAAGACAGCTTTGGTTAGCATGCTGTTTTTTTGAAAGGCCCGTGGAGGCTGTGTGGTCAGCCAGGTAGCGTCCGTTCTGCGCGGATACTCTCCTCTCCGGCAGGGAACAGGAAGGGCCGACTGGAGCCAGCGAGTGACCTGGGGACGAGAGTCCAGCTCTGGCTGGGCTCTTCCAGACAGAGGCCTCTGGCCCCTGCCAGTCTCCCAGCCCGGGCCGCCAACAGGGCTGACGCAGCGGGTCTCTGTCCAGGTGGGCGCTGGTGTTATTCGGCTACTCTCCCACTGGGTCACCTTCATCTTTGACAAATGGGCACTGCATTTCTTTTTAAGCCTCTGTCTCCCTGCTTCACGGGAAGCCCTGAGGTTAATAATAATAATAACAACATCAATTTATTAACCCTCTGCAATTTCTTGCATTAGGAATTTGTCTTTTCACATACCCCAGCTTGCTCTCCCTGAGACATACAGACAGGGAGAGAGAAGTTTGGGGTCAGAGCACAGGGTCAGCAATTATACAGCACCTGGAGCAGTTGGGGTTCAGGGCCTTGCTCAGGGGCCCAACAGAGTTGGAGTCCTCTGGGGGCCGCTGGATTTGAACTGGTAACCTTCCAGCCACAGGCACAGATCCTGAGCCACAGAGCCACCTCTCGGCTGAGGGTTCAAGCCAGGGCAGGTGAAACCAGCATCAGTAAGAACGGCCTCACAGCGACAGAGGGGCTGTCTCCTGTCCAGGCTGCAGGAAGAGGGGTACCTGACAGCGCCCACTCTTCCATTCCTTCAGCAGGAAAAACGACGCGGATACAATGAGCACAAAACCGGTAAAGCTTTTCGCTGCAGGGGGGAGATCGTGTATTTCAATTACACTACTTGTGTAGAACAGATCTTTTTCTGATTTGTTCTCATTTATAATGTAATACAATTAAAAACAGAATATAAAAGACTGCAATATCCTTTGAGATGTTATTGGAAATATTTTTTTTTCATGGCATAGATTTTTGCTTTGGCTAAGATGTGTTGATTTCAAACTGTAATTGATTTGCAAAACATAAAAAGCCACTAAACAAATTATTACCGTTTACATTCCCTCCCCCAAAAAAAGAAGTTTGGATTTGTGTGTATGTGCCAGTCTCGTTTATTCGCGCAGCTTAACTGCCCCTTAGTGTTTTAGGAAAACACAAGCATTTTAATCAAAAACTGTAAAATGCCTGCAGATCATTATTTTTAGATTATTTTATATCTCGGCTTGATTACAGCTCATAGGTTTAATTGACTGTCAAAAGAAGGCTGGACAACTACTGCAGAATAACTTTAATTTGATCTTTATTTAACCATATGAGCCAATCGAGAACAAATTCGCTTTTGCAACAATGACCCGGAGATTTATTTATAGAGCAGGGCGTTTACCGCCGCTATCTGAGCGAACTGTCTTGCTCAAAGTCACAGCAACAGCGGTCCACGTGGGATATGAACCCGCAACCCTCTAGTCCGGAGTCCAGAGGCTGGGGCCCCTATCTGTGACCCAGTAAATTTAATTCAATAAGAGAAAACTCGCTGCGATCTTGCATCATGCAGCTGTCGCAGCCAGCTGAATCTGCCCACAACGCGTGTTACAAGTAACGAACATGTACCCGTCTGGAATACAGAACTGTTGCAAGAAAAAAAAAAGACAACTCGGACGCGATACGTGTAACTCGATTTCCTCCGTGTGCGTGGAACGCCCCACGCCCCACCTCCACCTCGACCGAATTCACTTGAGCATTCCCGTTTCCCCTGACGTTGATTTTAGGGGGGTGGTCAGACTTTGTGTATATTTATTAAAGATTTCAGTCAGTAAGTGCATTGTGTGCGGGTTTTCGCGTGCTAAAACGCAGCATGAGGGATCGATTTCAAAGGTTACAAAGAACTAACTTGTGAAAGACGATTTTGTATTTCGACTGGTCACAGTTTCACTACATTTAGGGTGGCCCATGAATTGCGTTTATTTTTCTGTGGGGATAACGCGTTACTCGAAGAACGGTGTTCTCTTTTACACCATATAGGTC